ATATATATATATCATCATCATCATCATCCAGGGCCAGCAGATCTGCGACAGACATCGTCGATTATGGTTTTCCATAAAGTATACTAGATCTACATATTATATGATCTGCGATGTTTCTGGTTAAGTTGACCATCCTCCCAACCACCAGTCCGGTCTGACAACTATACTGGTTCAGATTCACATGAAGGTATCTAGGCCTACTGCAATATTTCTGGACAGGTGGGACTGTCATTGGCCTTTAAAATGTTTGGGTGGTTACAGTGACGGTGGGTGGACCAAATTTGGGTGGGGCTTAGGTTGCGATCACTTCTTTACCACCAAATAGCAACCAGTAATAAGAACAAAACAGTAGATCTAGTGATTTTTCCATAGGGTACTCACGGAGAGCCACGGCATTTTGAGAACCATTCAAACGAGAAGAGTCACCTTTGTCTTCCTTCGCTTTGTTCTAGATCTAGATCTACGTTAAATTTTTCTGGGGGGACGAAACCGTTTCACCTCCAAACTTCTCTAAATTAATTTCATCTGGAGAAAATTTTGCCTTAAAAGTGGTTTGATGTAATTAATAACTGTTGAATCTCAGCGGCACACACACAAACATGCATACGTACAGCATTCCACGAGCTGGATTAGGCCGTGTAGTCGAGAAAATTAGTAGACAGCACCCAAGGAGATTTAAAAATGAGATTAGTTCTAAACTCCTTGACAGCACCTGACAAAGGTCCAATGGGAGCGTAGGTAACTGCACATGTATCACTGGGGGGAAAGTGTGACGTAAACTTTCACCCCCATTGTCAGGGCTAGGCATAGATGTAGGCCTACACTATACTATAGGCTAGGCATAAAAAGGGTAACTCTATGGTGCAGTCATGTAGGCCCCTAGTGGGTTTTTTTTTCAAGTCTTCTAGCCTACCTTTTTTGCAAAGAGAGTTTCATTTTTAACGAGGCCCGTGGGAACGGGCTCATCCTTTGCTGAGCCCTAAAGACATTTGATTGACTGCATAGACCTATAATTAGGCTAATAATAGGTCTATGATTGACTGTTAGCTATAGTTACTATAATTGTGAGCGGTGGCAACAGTGATTGGATAAACGAGAAAGCCGCCAAAGTTGATCACTCTGTGTTCATTGCGTGCGACCATAACAGGTTTCAACAGCTTATTTCGTTATTTTCATTTGCTTTGATAGAGTTGGGGGGTGGGGGTCAAGAGGGGGGCTCAAGTCAGTGGGTCCTTCACACTCACTGCCACTGGGCGGTTATAGTTAATTTTTGCGAGGGCGCCCGGCCTAGGCTATAACTAATATAACGCCCAGCTTTATCATCTGGTTCCATAATGGGCTTTTGCTGTCGCAACTTGTCAATCATAATCTCTACCACCGCAAAATTCCTTGATCTTAACGACATCACTAAATGAAGAAATCCACCCACCCACACTGTTCAACAGTTCTAACTGTTGCCTATTAGAAGCGACTTACGCTGCGCGAGAAGTGTCGCAGTTGACTGTGTTAGGCAAAAAGATTCTCTACCCTCTTTGGTAGGCCTATTGGTAGCCTCGGCCTATGTCAATCGTGCGGTACTACAGTAACGTGTAGACCTTCATCTGAACCGACAACAGTTTCGTGTCTTTCTATGTCTAGACATATCGTCTTTGCTTACGGTTTAGACTAAATACACGATACCCCTTTGGGCGTATATCAATCAAATGTCAGACTAAGCTTTGATTAAATTACACACTTTATATCCACATAAAGGCACGGTATTATTAGTGCTGTTAAAAATATGTGGCGCACTTATTCTCAAATATCTCTTTAACTTTAATGGTTTTGCCTTTTCTGTACGTCGTGTTTTACTATGGCATCCATTCGACGAGGGGAAATCTGTGCCACCACTTTCCAAAGAGGAAATTTACTCATTAATCCGTTCCGTACACTTTGCATAGCAGTCTGTCAAAATAATTTTTTGAGAAATACTGGAAGTTTCAAAGTGATCTTCGCTCTAGAAGTATTCTAAAATATGAAAAATACAAACCCGGGGGTACAAAATGACCCCAGGGTGAATGGATAGGG